TTTTTTTTATAGAGAAATTAAAATTAAAAATATAGAGAGTCTATATGATATATATATATATATATATATATATATATATATATATATATATATATATATATATATATATATATATATATATATATATATATTAAAAAAATAAAATAGCTATTGTAACTCATCTAAGCTCTAAAAAAAAAACAAATTTATGCATTTGTTTTCAATTTTGCTCAGTGAATTTATGATTGTTTTGGAACAAAACACTTGTTAATTATCATGAGAGAAGGGTTTTTAAGTTTGAAAAAAAAAATTGGAAACTATTTTTTTTAGAATAGCTTTGAAATGGCTACCTAATTGGAAACTTATTAATTATTTCTACGAGCTTATTTGGAGAGATGTAATTGTGACCTCACAAAGCTTGGTGTAGACTCATCATGTACTTCCAAAGTTTGCCCCGTTCCAAGCGAGAGTAGTAAGATGGAACCAAGGAGGAGAAGACAAGAACTTGGCAAATGATACGGACAAAGATCGGATGTCATCAAGTCACATAAGAGAGATGGTAGGAAAAGGAAGAATAGAGAGGGAAAAAGAGAGAGAGAGAGAGAGAGAGAGAGAGAAGAGAGGGGGATGATGAGACATGTCAGGTCAAAAGAGAAGGGTGAAAAGATTCCATCTGTCCTCCACCATTGTTGAGCTTCCATCTTTTAGACATCCCCTTGCCTTTCTTTTTCCTCGGAATGGTGACCCACTCGTACTATGTTTTGTCCCGATCACCCATGTCGTATGTCCTCATTCCCCCTTCTTCCTATGTATCTATACAACACAGGTCTTTTTCATCTCTCTCTCTCTCTCTCATCAAAGTACACAAGCACTTGATTATCACATTAATTTCTTCTTCTTCTTTTTTGTGCTCAGGGATAAATCTTGTCATTTGATCCACATCATTATCTTCTTTTCATTAGCTGCAAATAGTATGTGCCAGGATAAATTTTCCCATATTTAAGTAGGCATCCTCATCTTGTATTAAGTAACTGATGTTTGATCTCCAATTTATCTGCAATATATATATATATATATATTTATATGGATTATAATTTGTTGGTTCTATATACTGAATTTTCTACTTCTGAATTGTATCCAATAAATAAATAATTACACTTATATTTTTCATATCTCTAAACACAAAAAGTTATCATACATACATTTCAATACTCACACCTTTTCCTTGTATATTTTCTATGGCTTCTTCTTTCATAGTTCCATCAAATTCTTCCATGTCCATTCATTTTATTGTGGAGTCTCTTTAAGCTTCCTCTCATGCATGCAAGGAAGCCAAGCAAGTCCTTTCAGAGCTCCACTACAATCCTATTGACTTGTTTATTGGTTGGCATATTTCCTATCAAATTATTTTCCTTTTCTTTTCTTTGTTGGGTTGGATGAAGAAAAAAAAATCTCCACAAACTCATATTACACTCTTAATTTTCTCTTCAAAGCAATTAAACACAGCCATATACATCCAATTCTTTTCCGTAACACAAGGTTAAAAAGTACACATCCAAACCCTATTGTTCTCTCAGCTTTCTCCCGCCAATGTGTTGGCCTCCTCGTAAGGATGTCTATAGAGCAAACTGCAAGTTCTACGCTTCATAGCCACTCACACACACAGGTCTCCATCAAAGTCAATGCATCGTGATAGGGCCCCGACAAACAGGCCAGGCTCGATGTGTCCTTCCGCATGCAAAGAGCGCATTTATCCTTTAGGCAATCATCTCAGTGCTCGTCGCTGGGGAGGTGAGTCTATGGCGAGGAACAGGCGTGTGTTGCGAGGTAGCTGGCTTTCTACCAAGATGACAAGATCTACCGAAGACTCTCAACACCTGATGCGATTAGAATATTCCTGTGTCTTATCCTCTCATAGATATCTGCCGACTTCAGCATGTTCCAAGGCATTTCATGTTGGATTCTGCAGATGATGTAGCTTTTGGCGTTGGAGATTTGTCGATGTGGACATAAAATACACAGAGAGAGAGAGAGAGAGAGAGAGAGAGAGAGATCGTCTTATAAAATAGGAATAAGGAGAGTATGATGACATCTATCACAAAAGAATACAAAGCCACAAAGGAATGTCCTAATCCAACATCGCAACCAATCTTGTAATTGAATCTACTTTGACTCGTTGGAATTGCCAATACCTTTTCCTCGAGAAAACGAAACAAGAGGAACAAGAGACAAAACCTCACATTTCTTAGGGTTTTAGTCCCGCAGGTGCTTAAGATCATCTTGTACAGTGACTACAGGAACTAAGAACAGGTTCAATCGATGATATGAGATCGGTAACCATCATCTTTGGAGGTGGCGGATGAGTCCTTCGCTTGTTTGGTTGGCAAGCTGGTGATCCCATGGGATGTTGAGGTTTGATACCGCCATCCACCACACGACAACCTTCCATTATATTTGTTCCTTTCCACGGAATGTCGTCGCTTCCCAATGCATAATAATCAGATTTGTTCTATGTAGAGAACAGAATCAGAATCAGAACTATTCTTCTTTGGACTTATCTTCGCACATCTCCTTCCAACTTCATAGATCTGGTCAAGCCAAACGACTAAATAATGACAACACTATTGAAAGTATCTGCAGAAATCAGCTACACCTCATTCCTTGTATCTTGAACTTGACCACTGTTCATATTTTTCTTAACATATTTTGCCCACTCAATCTTTCAAAATGAGTACATGTTAGGTTTTCAATCAATCAAATTAATGTAGCTGGAATCTTTTGTTTCTATTTATTGTCCTTTTATATTTTATTTTTCTCATATCTGTGATAATTTATATAATTAATTTATTGTTTTATATATTTAGCATAAACTACTTTTTTTTTATTGTATCACCAAAATACATCATTTGTTATCACATCACGGAGTCCACACAGCATATAATCTTCGAAAAACCTTCGTAATTTTTATATCACATCATTAGTACCACAAACGATGCAATACAAAGGATTCAAACTTACATGATTCGTAGTAACACAATCATAAGAAGAACACGATTTCTTGTTGTTTTTGAGGAGGAGTTTGGCGGAAAAAGAACAATGTGCTCACAATTTCCATTGATCCATCCCAAGTAAACATCCATGGAAGAACTCATGGCTTCCATTAACATAATACAGCGAAACAGCTGTTACGACCATTAAGAAAAGATTGAAAGGAGGAGAAGAAAAAGGAAGCTTTTTGATGCAGAGAGCAGCTGCATCGAAGGCCGCCGTCTCAGTTCACGACTCCGCCGCCGCCCCCGCTGGGGCGTCCGGCCGCCGTTCCGACTGCTTGGCCTGCGGCGCCGCTGCGGAGGGGGACGGCAGGCTTCCCCCGGTCGCGTTGGCGCTCGGCCGCCGCGGCTGGGGCGGCGCCTCCAGTCTCCCGTCGATGCAGGAGGCGCACTTCCGCTCGACCCACCCTTCCAAGTCGTAGTGCCCGTACCCCATTATGGTCCGGCCGGAGCAGAGCCGGCCCAGGATGCCTGCGATCACTCCCAGCACGGCGATCGCCGCCAGCACGGCGATCACCGGCCCGACGGACCCGCCGTGGGATCGATACGCGTACACCGGCGGCGGCGGCAGCTGCTGCTGCTGCTGGAACGGGAGCGACATCAACCCCAAAGAAACCCGATCTTTGACGGCTGAGCAGGGCAAGAACACAAAAAAGATCAGATCTTTGGAACGAAAACCCCCGAAAGATGGGATTTTTGGCAGATTCTCCACACGAACAAAGCTCGGAAAGGCGAGATAAGATCACGCTCGTGGATCTTGACGATCAAAAACCTAAAAAATCTCTCCTTTTCTTTGCTGCTCCGTGAAGCTCGACCGAGCTGCTTGAGCTCCAAGGAACATTGCAACCCCACTCCAAGCTTCCTCAAATCATTCCCCAAGGTCCCTGGCGGAGATTTGGAGCCCAAGAGGCAGAGGCGAGAGCGGAAAGGAGAGGGTTTTGGCAGCGAGGTGGGGGCGTCTGCAGCTTTGTCTGCAAGAAGAAAGGGGTCGTAGTACTTGGTGGGAGATCGATCCCAGATGGTTCGGATGCTCGACGCGTGTCGCGTCGGACGGCTGATCCGGTCATTACGGCAGGTTTAAAGATGGTGCGATGGACGAGTGCCTTCCTTGTTGCTTCTACTGCCTGAAAGAACAGTCACAAGCCATGGCTACTTCCACTGCAGCAGAGCACATTCCCAAGCCATGGCTTCTTGCTGAGGCATCTCCCGTGATCTTCACAACCCCACTGCAGGGGGAAGATTTGCCTCTCTGCGAGCAGCACGGGTGGTGGCGATGACGATGGAGATGGAGTTGGAGGTGGTGGTGTTTGCTTTTTTGCTTGGCCCAAGGTGTGCATGTGACGATGGTGCTACTAGCCATGGCCGTGTACCAAGTACTTGATGCACTGCACACCCTCCTTGGAGAAGAAAACCTGTACTGCTTGCTTTGCATGTTGTGCTGATTACAGTCTGTAACATTAGGAGATGAGCGCCTGTTTGATCAATGGGTCAATCTGGTGATCACAGAACAGTATACAATGGTGGTCACCATGGGAGCAGGAGGAACCTTTTGCCGTGGACATGCATCGTCGAGTAGCGAGCAGATGGTGGCGTTAGTACAATAACAAGATGGCCTTTTTGCGACTTAATAGATCGGAGTTCGTGTTATTATTGTACTGTATATTAAAAAAAATCTTAAGAAAGATAAAAAAAATTATTATTTGATGATGGTATAATCATATCCAAGGGTATCGGATGATATACACCTTATACAATATATATCGTCCGTTTGGCTTACTATGATTTGCGTATCGATAAATTATTGGATCAATAAATATCATTCGTAACGAACGATATTGTAAACCTCGATCGAACATCTTAGCCGATAATAAAAACTTGATATTTAAAAAAAAATTAAATGTATAATTTTTTGGTCTAAGGAAGTATGTATGATCATGTGGATGATGACTTCTTGGGCCCTGGCTTCTGGAGATGATTGGCTATCCTCAGCATAGTCTCCTCAAAGGTACTCGAGATGGAAGCATCCCAGTAGGAAAAGAAAGTTGATGGCAGCCATGGCCAGGGGGGAGTCACCTTGAGCACATTGAGATCAATCTTATCTCTTTCCTAAGAGAACTGAAACCTTTGCTCACCAGGTTCAGAGTAAGCCCAAATTATTGTACTTACATGCAATGTATCCACTTCAGATGTCTCGACTGCACCTTATCCTCATCCTCTCAATCATCAAAGTAACCCAAAGAAACTAAAGGAGATAATTGAAGCTGTTTCCCTTCATTGTATAAATCCCCCACACAGCACAAAAACCAGAGAGTCCAACAAAGTGGCTGATAAACGAGACAACCAATCCATTCCAGCATCATTCAAAGCATGCAGCATCATTCAAAGCATGTAACAAATAGAGACATCACTGCTATAAATGCTTTGGAGAGCACTGATGCTGTTATCTTATTCTCTTCCTTAATGTTTCTAGTTCAAGTTTGAAGGCAAAGGATGGTCAAAGAAGTCTCTGCTGAGATACCAAAGAATAGGAAAGCACACAGGTACTGCTTTTCTTCTATGGTGTTCATTTTAGTTCTTCTGATGTACTTGATTTTGTTTATATTTTGCACATGATAAGTTATCTAAAGTTCGAAATTGTAATCGTATTCGATCACCATCTAATAGTTTCAACTGTCGACAGGATGAGGTTAAGTTTCATGCCAATGCTTGATGTTCTTCTTATTTCTTCAGTTCTGCAATTTGAATTCATGGAAGGTGCCTCATGAGATTTCTCATTGGAAATGCATCCCTGATCATCGTTACAGAAGACTCTGAGTTGCTACCGGTACTTGCGAGCTAAGCAAGATTGCTGTGGTGCCGAGTGGAGAGAAGAAGCTTCAGGAGTGCGTGAGTGAGTGACATGGATGCCAAACGCAAGATGATTCGATCACAGGGGAGTAGCTGGAATGCTTTTGTCTCAAGCTATTTCAGTGCCAAATCATTTCTGATGCTTTTATCGGTCATGGCGTCGTTGATTTTTCTTCCTCTTGTTCTACCTCCAATGCCTCCACCTCCATTGTCGTTGCTGTTAGTTCCTATAGGTATATTTCTTGTACTACTGATCTTGGCTTTCATGCCACCCTCTGGTGTCCAAAGCATCACCTCCTCTTGCTTATGAAAAGTCAGAACCGAGTTTTGTTTCAGCTTCAAATGACTTTATGATCGGATAGCAATTTCTTTCAGCAGTGTTCTGAGTGGTTGTAGACATCATTTACATGCTTATGGTTCATAGATCAGGAAGCTTCAACCTCGTAAGACATTTTTGTGACTCTGCATCAGGTTGGAAGTTTCAGGTCATATCATGTTGCACACCTGATGATCTACATCTTTTGCCTCTGTAGGATGAGTTCAGAAAATGTGCTGAGCCAAGTAGTTTCCACATGGCATCAGATGTTGATTCCAACTTGCATGATCGATCATTTTGCACAGTTTGTTCGACTCGATGAACTATTGATCTCTGCTTGAAGCATATTAAACAGGTATTTGGAACACCTTTTCCCCCAAAGAATGTGTTCTTCGAACACAAATATCATGCTATAAATCTCTGCTGTAGATTGCCATAAATTGGGCCACAAGAAGCATCTGGATAGCAATTCTGCATCCTCCATTTCCTCAAACTACTCAAATATTGTTCTTCGATTAAGACAGACACAATTTGATTTAGAAATAAACATCCAAGACAGACTTCACTGGATTATAATGGAAATTTCAATTTGTCTTTCATATTCAAGATGGAAAGAAGTTTGCAACACACATTCTTCCCACCATTCATGAGAAAGTCTTGAAGAAAACCCTCAAATTAATGTATTAATTTGGAATTAGGTCCAAGTTGAGGCATCTTTCTACCTCCCTCGATCACAAAAGCGATGCATACATGAACATGCAAAAATTCAAACACGAACTTTGGTGTTCCACTCACGTAAGTAATAGTATATATGAGTGCATATATAATCTCTGAGAGAAAGCTAGAGGATTGGGAAACGATCTGACATCTGATCTCGGGGACACTTCCATGTTGGCAACACAATCTCTAGCTAGTAAATTGAAGTTGACGAGGTGGTTCGATTAGATGTATCTGCTCTCCATTGTTCATGTCTTTTTTCCTTGTTCCATCATCAATTCTGACAATGCATTGTCATCTCCATTGTCTTCGAAGATTCTTTTCGGCCATTGCTTGAACCTCCAAACTCATTGTCCTCCTTGAGACTTAACCGCTTCTTTGCCTTCTGAGCCCAGTCCTCAAGGCCCCCTCTCACGTTATCATCGAATACAGTTTTCTTGAAGTGAGTCCCCATCTTAATCAAAAGGAGAAGTTAGTGCCAGCAACAAAAGAATTTTCTAAGAACAACTGCTCAAGGATCATGGTTACCTGGGTGACAATGGCATAGAGCGGTAGTGTGCTGTAGCTGCAGAGAATCTGAACAATGATTCTACAGGGCACAGAACCATGTGGCTTTAGAACAAAAACTGAATTGGGTATTCAAAACAAAATATAAGGAGAAGATGATGGCTACCCGATCACGAGCCTCGGGACAGCAAAACCAAAGTGATCGGTGATGCAGGAATCGAGACCATATGGAGTCTGCATAAAATATCAATCTATTAGAAACTTAATTGGGTTTTAGTCACTGCAAAGGAATGAGTTAAATCCTAAGGAGAATCATCCATGATTGAGCTAACCGTAGATAAGAATATAGTCAAAAGTAGAGTGCTTAATTTGAGGTGTATAGAGCAGAAATCTAAATACGAAATTTAATTTTCTAAGCAGCTTACAAATAGCCAGAAGATAAATGCGATGTCAAAGGCATTCTGGAACAAGATCAAATGGATCAAGAAAAGGAGAATCCTGGGTCGGTGAAACCAGAAGTAATCATCCGATGGCATAACGATCAAATCTCCTCCAATTGCAAAATACTTTTCAGCAACGTTATGAGCTATCTCAGTAATGACGTGCTCCAATTTAGTTCCAACAGAAAGAAGAAGCTGCAAGAATGAAAATAAGGCAAGATCAATTCATTGCTTCATGACATTTAAGAACACAATGACAACCAAGACCCAACATTGGCAGGAATCTCGTGCACTGGTTATGCCCTTTATGACATTTGAGAACACAATGACAACCAAGACCCAGGTCACACAGATTTGGTGTCACCATGATGTATAAATGATGAGTATATTTTTTTTATGAGGTGGTTTAAGGCTTCATACATCATGGTATAGCCTCAATAAGAGAAGTGTCAGCTTCACTAATTTATTACAAAGTCTAGAGTGAAAGAAAAAGGAAGATAGCGAATCTTTATCTTTGCTATGGAACTTGGAACTGACCAAGCACTTGACAATCTAGTGTGACTGAGCTTTGTGGATAATGTACAGAAATATATCTTACAGTATTTGGGTTTGGATTTCGAGTCCACATCAAGCTCATGCAAAAATTTGAAAACTGACACATGTGCTTATTGTTTGATCATGCCAATTAGTATTTTCCCCCTACATTTGTGCCTACAGTATAAAAAAGAATAAGTTAATTCGACCATGACAGGAACCCTAGATGTGGCAGTCTCAGGACAAATACCTAAAGTTTCTCCTAAACCAATGGTCAGATTAGACATTTCATATGCTTTCCTCATAAGAACCATATAAGCAGTGGAAAATAGATCAAACCTAAAGACCACATACAATTTTCAAATATAACTGATATTTAGAGAATCATTTGTGTAATTGTACCAAGAACAAAATTTCACACAGGTTATAACAATAACAATAAAACCGTAACTTCCAACTATTTAGGGTCAACTACATGGAGCTTTTGCTACCATTAAGATCTGTAAAAATCATGTGTTGGTTTAAGTTTAGAGTACCTAATCTTTATCTATAGTTTCTATTAAAGTCTTTTTAGGCCTTTCTCTACCTCTTCCCGTATCATTAACATTAATCATTTCATATCTTTTGACTATCACATCCGGAAGTCTTTTAAGCACATGCCCATACCATCTTAAATGATTTTCTCTTATTTTATCCTCTATCAAGATGATACCTAGTTGTTCATGAATAAAAGTATTTCTTTTCCTATCTTTCATGGTAACTCCATACATCCATCTCAACATTCTCATCTCGGACAATACAAACTTTTTGTATATATTGTTTCTTAACTGCCCAATAATCAGATCCATAAAGCATTGTTGGTCTAACAATTACCTTATAAAATTTTTCTTTTAATCTCAAAGGTATTCGATGATCACACAAAACTCATGATGCCCTCATCATTTTAACAATCTTGATTTTACTCTATGAATAATATCTTCATTGATTTCTCTATCTTGTTGAATAATTGATCCAAAATATCTAAAGCCTTAAAGGAATTTCTTATCCGTTCAAATTAACTATATTATCTCGTTTATTTCTAGAATTACTAAAATTGCATCTCCTATGTTCAGTTTTAGTCCTACTTAATCTAAAACCTTTAGTTTATAGGGATTGCCTCCATAGCTTAAGTTTATAATTAATTCCACTTAGGCATCCAAATGAAATTTTAGCCTGAAAATCTCTTTCTGCTGCAAGATGGGGCAGTGAACTTCTTTATAGTTTATTCATGTAAAAATCACAATTCTTTAACATTTGTCAATAACAAACTAAGCATGATAAGTTTTATCAACATGGACATCACTTCTGCTGCTAGAGAACAGTTTCCCCACATATGACAGATTTCTGGTAGCCAAAGGACCATGTACCTTCAGAGTAAGACTACTGCTCACTGTTTATACGGCATCTCTTAGCTGATTACATAGGGATACTTACAATCAGAGGAACGAATGCTATCCAGAAGTACGTGTGCCAACCTGCAGAGGAAGAAATAGTATTAAAGACACTACCATGCAGAAGCACCCATCTGAAAGATAAAATAATTTGAATGAGCAATAAAGGGGCAATAGTCAAAGTGCTAGAAGTCGTGTCTCTAATAGGAAAAGATGTCACAACTGGGGGAGAGTAATTTAGAGTATTTAGACTTCCATAGACAAGTAACAAAGTGTACATGGTTACCTCATTTTGCAAATCTTTCATAATTATATGAAACTTAGTACACAAAATAGGGTGAACCACAGAACCACAGTAATGTTTCTTCTCTGCTTCCTAAGTGTCATTGGTTCAAGTTCCATAAACAACATTCGCTTATGAGGCAAAGCTGTATATGCTGATCTCTACCTCATGCACAAATATAGCCCATTTAAACATGACACATTAATAACAAATGCCTTTTAGTAGGCTTCCTATTTGATAATATTCTTTTCTGATTACACTTGATAAGCAAACAAATGACTACTCTGAATTTATTTGAAAAGCCATCATGGACACAGCGTTGTGGTTCCAATGAAACTGATTTATCCAATTGTACGGTATATATAAACATTTATTTCTTTAGCTACAATTAGCAACAGAGCTGGAACATGAAAAAGGAAACATAAATGCCTGATATCTATGACAAAAAATTTGAAATGGTTAAAATGAACCAAACCAGTTTGTCTTATTTTGTAAGGTCGATAACTATATTTAAACATCTACAAATGTCCGTTTGTCCAACAAATACTCTTTTTTTTTTATTCACAATATAGAAATGGAATACTGCAACTATGTTGGAAAAGCAGCAGATATATCCAAACAAGCCTTTTCCTTTGGCATAAAAATTATTCTACTGATTCTAGTATTCTATATCAATTGATTAAAGAAAAATGAAGTTACCATGTGGAAATAGAGAACTTTTACAAAAATTCACACAATATATAACTCCAATTTCTTGGTTTAACAAATAAATTGAAAACATGAAAATATATGATATCGATGGCCTGTGAAAAATTTGAGATAACAGCTTACCATTGATATTCAGCAACAAGAAAATGATCACATAAGCCCAAAGATGCCAACTGAAGAAAGATGGTAAAATGTGAGGACTAGGGTGACTAACAATAAATGTCATACTGTATCATTGTGTAATACGATAAATTTAAGTTGTTAAATCTGATTAGTGACTCCATTTAAAGATTTAAGCACATATATATTTTCTAAGAGTGTCATTACCTTATACCAACAACTTTCTTGAAATCAGATTCAAATGCTCGGATCATATATTTGTGGAAGTCAAATTTTGGGTGTCCCTTGCAATGAGTCTACAGTAGAAGTATTGAAATCTTAGGTAACAAAACATATGAATCCAAAATCAGATTTGACTATTGACTTTCCATGAAAAGTTTTGATATGCAAAATAATTATAGAATCAAGGAATATAACTAAATTTCAGGGAAAAAAGGTAAAAAACAAGCAAAAAAATTGTTTTGATCTCGAGAACATTGCTTACCATGATGAAGATAAGTCTTAAAGTGACGTAGTCTGATTTTGTCACAGACAAAAAGAATTGTTTGAAAAACGAATGCTGAAGAAAGCAAAAGAAGTACCAGTTAGTGTAGGTTCTTAAGTATCTTATCATGTTAATTGACAGTAGATTTTAGAAAGAGTCAACAAAGATGCTTAAACAAATACAATTACTAAAATGATATTCCTTGACATGTACATCTTCAGTTGAACAATATTTTTGTTGTCTGCCAGAATTTTTAAAAGAAAACAAAAGCCCATATGTATGCATAATCGAAGTTCTTCGTTTCGCCTGGACCAGTTCAAAATGGGCATTATGATTCTGTAGATTCCATATGATTCCATTTAAAAACAAAAGCCCATATGATTCCATTTAAAAACATAATTTCCCCCAGAAAATTGATTAATAACCACAAACAGTAATGTATTGTGGAAAAATACCAAACCTCCTAAGATATTGCAATTTCCAGACTTTGACGCATGTTGTTTTTGTCATAGTTGTTTCTGTAGATTTTGCAACCATTCAAGAAAAAACCAAGTTTTATTGCCACAGGTACCATATTATTTTAAAATAGCAGGAAATTGTCTTGTAGCTTATTCTGACTATTAATTTAAGTTGCTATTTACAACATATATTTTCAAGTAACTTAAAAGGAAGAGAAATGTAAGACAGTCAAGCCAACTCCAAGTGTCCAACCCGTGTATACATGAGGATTCATATTGATAATGATGATATAATGTAGAAGAAAGCGAGATGGATAGAGAGAGATATCTCAAAGTATTTCATTGTTTTCTAAATAAAAGTCAACATTTTTCTTAAGCATGCCAGTCATAATTGCTCTGAGAGGATATTTGCAGAAGAAGCACAACCTAGATTATTAGATGAGTACTTGTTTGTCCAATGGAGTTGAATACCAGTATTACTAACCTTCAAAGTTGACACTTGATGAGTGTTACTAACCCCTATTACCAACTCATGGTTCAGACAATTTAAATGAAAGTATGAATAGGTGCTCCAAACAAAGCATTGGAAATCCAACTTCCCAATGCACACAATGAAATCAGGTGAAAGTATCTAAAAATTTCATGCATATGCAATAACCAAATCATAACAGCTGGGTGTTTTTTTTATGGATGCATTTGTGAACACATTTGAAATGTACATTGAGGGCTCAATGCATATTTACCTTTAATGCATATTTCAAATGTGAATTTGTGTTTGGTAAATGCTTTCAAATCACATTTGGTCTGGATGTTGCAAATGCTCATATACTTATGTTACCTTAATGTAGCATTGGCATTTCAGTATTTGTAGGATGTTAATATAATTTTTTAAATTCCTAAAGTACGCTATAATATTATCTAAAATTACAATATTGTCAATATGATTTATATCTTTTATAAAGTAAAATTTTATTTATTTATTTCAAAAGATTATTTTGCATTCATTTATATATCTGGGCCATACAAAATATTTTCTTTGATTACATATATATATATATATATATATATATTATTTACTTATTAATTAAAACAAAAAAAATATATTTATTTTTTAATAAATATTTAAAATATTAGAAGGGTAAATTTATCATATAATATTCAATTTACTTTTAAAATATAATTTTATCAAATAACACTTATGTCAACATACATTTAAAATGCAGTTTTCATCTATTATTTACCAAACACTTAAGACATTCCACAATTGTACATTTGCTCAAGCTCCCTTCTCTAAATGCATATTAAAAATGTAAATATGTTCCCAAACACAGCTTTTGTTCGTTTCCATTTTTATGCAACTCTGATTTAAATAAAACTGGTAGTTGTTTACTTCAGTTTCTATGTAGAAATTATTGCTAAAATGAAATCAGGAAAAAATAGTGACACACATAATGCGGCAGTTTCAGTAAGTTCAATCAATAATGAGTTTTATTTACAGCTTACAGAATCAGATTCATGCTAGGTTTTCAATCCAAGTAAGACCTTGCCTTTATTACTATGCAACAGGCCATCCTCTGAAATTCACTGGAAATTTCTTGTTTGACCAAGTCTTGAGGCTAGTATAAACTTGTTTTTTGCAGTGAAATTTCTAATTCTGTAAATCACTTACCAACCAAGTTACATCTACTGAATCTCTTTCAATGGTCTTAACACGCTCCATGATAAACTGAAACTGATGTAGATGCGCATTGTTTGTTGGGGCTGCACATAGTATATTGATTGCATCAGCATAATTTAGGATAAATAAAAGGATTTTAGTGAAAAAATGATGGATCTTTAGCTCCATTAATGATAATAATTGGTCTGAGACAATCATCCCAGGTACTAAGTTTCATAATTGTATTTGTACCAACTCCTCTAATTTCTTGCTGGATTGAATCCTCCCAGTGCTTCCACTGACTTATCTGATTAATTAAAGAGAAGGTTTAGTACTAGGTAGCATGTCTATTTAATAAGCAAAACAATGTGATTATTTACCTTTGCTCCGCCCAAAAGCACAATGAATGCACTAAAAAGAAAATGAGTGACTGCAAGGACAAATATGAAGATATGCAATTGATGTATTGCCTCAACAGACAACAATGGGACTTCACCCTGTACAAAAAGAACAAGAGATAATTAGAAAAATTAGAATCTGCTATAACAAAACAAGAATACCAATTCCACTTAAAATTCAAGAGCCATTTTGAAAGCAATCTGTCTGCCATCGGCCAAAACTGTCCTCAAAAGATTAAAGTAGAGGATTAACAAGTTAAAATTTTCAAAATACTATTACTCACTTCAAAACCAGAAAGTTGAATATGCCCTTTGATTATGTCAGATATGCTTCCAGGTCCATGGAAACAGTAACGATGGAATTAGATTTATCAAACAAGTTTCTCTAACTGCACAACTTCAAAGTAGGTCTATACCATCCACTTAAGATTGAAGGCAGGTACTACCTTTCATTTGAACATTTATGAATTCAAATAATTGTATTATAATGTTGCCTCAAATGGTATACTTGTTTGCTCAGGATTTTTCTAGCATTTTTTTCCCAAAATGAAATCATAATATACAGTAGGGTCATTTTTTCCATAAGTTCTAATCATCTTATAGCAGCAGCTTCAAGAAATAGGCCATTGTTCCCAGCTATCTAGGTTATTCCTCCTTTCAGGCAGAATTACACAAGAATCAGAGACTATAAAATAATAAATCTTGTTATTGAAGTGAACTTGATACATGCACTTCAATAGGTATGGTTGGTTACAAAAACATCTCTATATATAAAGACTTACATGACACTAGTCCCATGTCACACAATTTCCACAAAAAAAGAGATAGAGTCATCACTCATATATCACTAGTAGGAGAACTCTCTTTAATAATCATATCATTCCAAACACTAATCAAATAAGGTAGGGATTTGCATTATGGATTTCTAAGATCACTGAGAAACATATAAACAAAGTACTGTTTTGAACCCTGTTAGGAGTTGTGTTTATTTCCCTATATATCACTGTTTTTAACCAAAGCATTTTTTATCTTGATTTGCTTTTCTCAGGACTTCTAACCTGTGGCTCCTCGGTGCAACTACACGTCTTTTTAAACTTGTCTATGTTGCCACAAATAATATATCCACAATCCATTCTTGATTGATACTGTCCTAAGTTTTCATGAATTCCCTTGTTAAGTGATAACAAAAATCAGACATCTTTCCCCATTTCATATACCTTATACTAACTTTCAATGTTCTCTTTCCTAAAATGGTAAAATGGTCTTGTCTTGAGATATCTTAACTATTAGTTTCAGTTATTTTTCCACAGAAAACTGTTCATTTGAGTTAACCTTCAGTAAACTTTCATGTCAACATAAGAAAATGCATCTGGATCATGCAGAAAATTTTCTCTACGTAACATTTTGGAAAAGACAAACTCAACAAAGACAAAATTTTTAGCAATCATTGGGGAATTGCCTCAAACACACCTTGCTCATGCAATGAGCCACGCCCTCAGCAAGCAGCCTTCTCTCACCGCCACCACCAGGAATTTCATCAGAATATACACGGTGGTGGTGGTGGTGGTGGTGATGGTGGTGGTGGTGGGCTTTCTCAGGGTTGCAGGGGAGCATGTAAAGGGTCCACCTCTTGGGGATGCAGATGTTTTGGATTCCCTCTTGGAACACCGTGAGCAGCAGCGATATGAACCCCAAGAGCATCAATTCTGTTCCCGAGACGCCACAAGATTCCCCCGCCTTAAATGAAAAACGCCAAATCGACCAATCAAGAGAGAAAAGAGTGAGGGATCAAGTCGAAAGGCACCTTCTTTCACCTTCTGTAGAGCATTGTAGAGTGGCTTCTGATTCTTGCTCTTGAGAACCTGAAAGATAGCAGATTTAGCAACTGCAGAAAGTTTGGGAAGGGGAGCAAAAGGAGGGACCTTTCCGAGGTAATGGAGGTAGCGCTCGGCGACGAGGGAAATGAAGATGATGACGGAGCAAACGCCAGCGACAATCCATGTGGGAGTGAACTCGAGCTTTGCGTCATCCACCTCTTCCATTCCTCCCCTCTCGCCGCCGTCGCCTCGCTCCGCCATGCCTCTTGTTCCTCGGATTTGCTGTAGCTCGATGGGCAGGGCTGTCGAGACCACCAACTGCTCTTCTACAGATCGGAAGGAAGACGAGGAGGAGGCGGAGTGGAGGAAGAATAAGAGGCGGAACGCAACACAACAAGCGAGAGATGCGTTGATGAGTTGCAGTTGGAAGGACGCGATGCAATTTATAGCTTGCCATGCGGCAATGGCGAAGGAGAATCGAACGGTCAGAATTCTTCCATCATATCGTCCATCTCTCTTATCCTCGAATCTCCGCCGTCCATTGGTGCCGGGCCAACGCAAAGATGAACGGTTGAGATGTTAGAATGAGGGCATGGACGGTTTGTGATGGGGGAGAATTAAACCCAAGATAGTCTTGTTAAGTTAATTAAATAAATTGCTTATAATATATATATATATATATATCCTGAAATATTGCCAAAGTTTAGTCTCCAAAATTAGATATATTGTAATTAATAGCTTAAACTTTTATTATCATGACATCAGGACATGTTAGATAAATTAACATAAATTTAGGCCATTGATTATAACAAACTGACATTTTGGAATTTATGTATTTTTATAAAATCTTAGAGACAGCTTATATATTTTAAGGATTTAATTCTCTCGCACTACAAAAAAAATATTTTTTTCTTAAATAGACTCCATTTTCGAATTGATTATCTTTAAAATAACTGTGTTTTTTTTTAACTTTTGTACTAGCTTAGATCAATACAAATAGAACAAATCAAAATTCAAATGGACTCCAAATAGTTGGGATATTATGGCCTTATTATTGTATATTTTTGTAACACTGAGGAGAGAGAGAGAGAGAGAGAGAGAGAGAGAGAGAGAAACAAGTGGAAGTCATACAAGGAGAAATAGGTCAAACAATGATACAGATAACATTGTCAAACTTGAAGAAAAAAAGAAAAGAAAAAGATAATTGTAGTCATGGAAGTAGTAATGTTAAACAAAAGCGCATGCATGTAAGAGATAAAACAAGGATGAGATTCATACAAGTAGTGTAGACTCCCTCGTACAGGTGATCTCACATACATGTAATTCCTTTCCCTCCCATAAACTTTCCCTTCCTACCTTCATAAACTTAAGCACATCCTGAGCCATCTTACTGCCATCAATCACAAAAGGAACACTCCTCAAACTTGGCAGATACAACTCAACATATCTCTAACTTCTTCTCATACAATACTACCACACAACAACACCAGCATTATCTAAGGGCATGTAATTCCACACAGTTTCCAGCTAGAGAATGGATCAGGTGGCTGGTCTTGATGCAATTTCTCCAGTGCCAGATCTTCCCTCCTCCATGGCAGGTGTCGTCTGCACAAACATCTTCGGCAGCTCGACCTTCGTTGTAGTTTCGTTCTGTGCATGGCTTGTTGCGAGCCCATTGCCGATCCTTACACCTTTTCGCTTCTTTACCTTCTCAGCCCAACCCACAAGGCCTTCTTGGACGTGCTCATCAAATATGGCTTTCTTGAAGTAACTCCCCATCTTCATCACAAAGAAAAGCCCATTAACATCACTTGAACAGATTGAAATAACGGTTGCTTGTGTGACTTTTTACCTGGGTGACAATGGCATAGAGTGGTAGAGTGCTGTAACTGCAGAGAAGCTGAATTGTGACTCTATACAGCACAAATAAAATGGCTTCAGAACAAAAAAACCAACTTGAGTGTCCATAGATAAAAATGGTGACAAGCTGCTAATTACCCAATCACAAGTCTTGGGACGATAAAACAGGCATGATCCATGATGCAAGAATTGTAGCCATATGTGGTCTGCATAAAAAGAGAAATCCTTCAGTTCAAATTACCGCAACATGGACTATTAGTCTCAAGTAAGCAAACTCATGAGGGGCATCTATATGAAAAATATGTACAACCACAACCTTATCTAAGGAAAACCATATGTAAAAGTGGACTGCCTAATTCCACCCACTGTGTAGATTTAGGCAATAATTACATTAAAGAAAAGTGAACGGTTCTAAGCTACTTACGAAGATCCAGAAGAAAAATGCAATCTCAAAAGCATTCTGAAACAGGATAAAGTGAATCAAGTAAAGGACAATTTGAGGCCGATGGAACCAGAAGTGATCATCCGATGGCGTAACCACCAAATCGCCTTCAATTGCAGTATGTTTTTCAGCAACTTCTTGGGCCAGCTGAGTAATGACATGCTCCAATTTAGTGCCAAGAGCAAGCAGAAGCTGCAGAAGCCAAACAAGTCAAGATTCCAATAATAGTTGGGGAGAAAACTAAAACTAATTACTCCCAGTCATATATATGGTTCTACCAAATTGGGAACTGGATTTGTATCCGCTGATTTGAGATAGAACCACTAGGAATGATGTCAGCCTCATTGCTTTCTTAATGGGCTCAAATACCGGTAAAAATGTAAAACAAACTGGTAGATATGTTCATTATTATTTTGGTCATGAAACTTGGAAACAGACCAACATGAAGAAATCTTAGTAATTAATATAGAAATATATTGGTTTTCATTTGAATTTACAACTTCACAACAATGCCATAGAAAAAAAAAAAGAAAAAAATGCATTACTTTCTTCCGTTTGGTCATGCCAAGTGTTCCAATTCTTTTTACAACTTTAAATGCCTTTGGCATCGGCAAATAACTTGTCAGGAATGAAGCACATGAACCACAAAATGTGGTAGGTCTATATTATAAAGCTACAAGGAAAATCTCTAAGCTTCTCCAAACCCAAATTTCAGATCAAATACTCTCACATGGTTTTCACAGGGCATATAAGAAACAAAAAATAGATCAAACATGAAAGCACAAAATATTTGCAAATATATTTCCAAGAAAGTGTTGTTGCTCTCCTTGTGCTAAAGAATTAACTTCATACATGCTATCTAAAAGTAATAGGCGACTTTGAATGTGCTTCTAAATTCTGAATAGTCACCTCTGCTACAAGATTGGATTCTTAAATTCTTTAGGGATCTTCATAAAAAATTTACAGGTCCTATTATTTTTAATACCAATATAAGTTTGAGAAGTTAACTTTACCAAAAATGTCAATGTCTTGCCATGAACCACCAGCATATATGAACATGATCCTGAAGGCACCTCACTTGTTTATGGTCTTAGTCATTCCCCGGTACCATCAACATGACTGACATTATTAATGTTTCAGATATAGTGGTAACGTCCATGCTGTCATATTTAAATATACAAACCCGACATATTATGTAATGTTCTAGCAATTTTTTAATCCATGTACTAAGGCATACCGCACCATATCAACTGCTTTCATAACAGTGCAGAGACCTAAAACTTAAGACCTTGTTATTAAGAATAACCAGAAAAGCACAAAGGTCATATATACCACATCTATTTAGCTACTTTTAATGAAATACTTACAATGAGAGGAATAAATGCTATCCAAAAGTATGTGTGCCATCCTGCACGAGTAAAAACAAATTCTTCTCATCATTACTTTATAGAAGCATTAGTGAGAAGGCAAACAATTAATATATAAATAGGCAAAAGGCAAAGTGCTACAAGTTTTCTTTTCAACAGAAAATGCTGTTTCTCAGAATGGCATCAGAGAACCATATAAATTCTTTAAGTATAAAATATTTTTCTTCCAATGAAGCTGTTCCATCCAATTATAAGCAACATTAATTGTTTATCTCTCTAGATAAGATATGTCTAAGATGTGGCACATGAAAAATGAAGCAAGAGTGCTTGCTTGATGTATCTGGCACAAAATATTTAGAATAATACTGGTTAGCTCAAACAATTATGCTCTAAAATGACGATATTAAAGTAGAGTCTTGTCCTATAACCCATTTCTTGAATAGAGAAGCTGAACAAATTGATTCTTGTCTTTTATGGCTAACCTGATTCAAACATCTACATATGTTCATTTGTCCTATATCTTCACATGTTTCTTTCAGCAAAAAATTTTCATGTTGAGAAAATATCAGAATATCTAAACAAATTTATTTCCTTTTGGCACAAGGAAAGCAAAACAGTGTCAAGTGCCTCTACCATATAAACTTAAGCTGACTAAGGAGGACTTAATGTCTCTAACTGTAAAAGAAAATTAATGAATTTGTACAATCTTGGAATTCCAATTTATGAAGCCTAAAAAAGCAGGAGAAATGAAGAAACAACTTAATATCAATGACTTGCGAAAAAAGTATTAGATCATAACTTACCGTTGACATTCAGCAACATAAAAATGACGACAAACACCCAAAGATACCAACTGGAATGAAAGATCAAATTTAAGGACCAAGATCATAGAAACAAGCATGGTTAATTATCAAAATGTTATTTTCTTAACCAGCACCAGACTGTTGTGAAAAATGGTTTAATTCTTATCAGCAAACAAATTACAGAATTCAGCATCCATAAGCATATAGTTACCTTATACCAACAACTTTCTTGAAATCAGCTTCAAGTGCACGGATCATATACTTGTGGAAGTCAAATTTTGGATTTCCTTTGCAATGAGTCTAAAATTGGAAGGATTTCAAGCTTAAGGCAAAAAATTTTGGATTAAGCAGTCAGATGATCTCAAAATAAGACTAACTATTTCATGAAAATTTTCAGTTAGCAAAACACTTCAATGTGATTCTTAAGAAGACAAAAAGAGAAAAAGGCATTTTATATTGGATTTCCTGAAAATCTCTTACCATGATGAAACCAAGTCTCATTGTCGTATAATCTGATTTAGTCACAGACCCGAAGAACTGTTTGACAAAAGAATGCTGAACAAAACAAATCTTACATTAAACAAAGACGACAAGAACAACTTTAGCTGAAAAAAATTCTAGTTAGATGCTAGAGATTCGACAAGAAAAAATAAGCTTATATCAAAAAATACAATGAATAGGTAGAGAACCAAAATTTGGCCACTGCAACTTTGGTGTAAAAATGTAAATTTCTAGAACTTTCCTTAAAGACTAATAATAACTGCAAAAAAAAAAAATTGTACCTGAAATATAAATTAAATACGTGAAACAAAATAAATCTTGGTTATCTAGATAATATGACGATTCAAGAAAAAAATTGAATCATCACAACTCTGTTAAATGACAGCTTCTGTGTCACTTTAGTTCCCCCCTTGACGGAATCAACTCAACTCGATGTATGAGGAGATCGATAAGAATGATGGATGCAAGAAAGGTTTCCCTCCTAAACTACAGATCCCTGGAAAAATTGTTGCAAATGGCATCATTACCTCAAATTTGTCAGTAATACTGCTGGTGAAGGGAGCAGAACCTTGCCTATCAAATTAATGGTAATTGCTTGTACCATTATTGAGTTGAATAATAACTATAACAAATGACACCAAAAAACACAGCTCACGT